GCAGACATGATATCCTGTCCAAACACTATTAGTACAAATCTTTCTTCTCATTGAATTAAGAGAAAGTAGCTGTATATCTATCCTATTTTGTATATACAGATACAAAATGGTCCTTCATTTTTAATGAATACCAATTTTAAAAAGCAAGAAAAATTAAGAATGGGCTGATAATTTTGTATTAATAGTACACATTACTCAAAGGTGAGTATATTTTCATATTGTTTGAGGATGATTGTTAATAATCTAGACTTCCCATAGCCATCCCAAAGATTCTAATTTAGTGTCTAGGAAGAATGCCCAAGAATCTGCATTATAATAATCAGGCTCTAGTTGATTCTATACTGTTAATGTACCACTATAAGAAACCCCTGTCTTTTAAATACAAACATTAAGTTAGTATCAGCTAGCAATATGGAATAGTATGTTTATAAGAAAAAATGAGGTTGAACTGGTATCAAACATTCTCAAATCAGCATACAATATTTTATCAGATATAGAACATTCAGATGTGTAGTGATTGGTTGATTTCTGTTCTTTAACATAGGATGTCTAGGGAAGGACAAACAATCATCTTCTCCATTCGTCAGCCTCGATATTCCATCTTCAAGATGTTTGAGAGTATAACCTTATTGGCTGCAGGAAAACTAATATTCCATGGCCCTGCACAGATGGCTGTAGAGCACTTCACATCAGCAGGTACAGTTGAGTTCTATGTGAAGTAGGTCCCTCATGCACAGAATCCTGGAACAGAGCAGAGGAGGTTGCAGGAGTGATGTTTGATCTTGCATAGATAAGCCTCAAGGCTTATCCAAGTTCTACCACTCTAAAGCATCTCTATCCAGGTTTGAACCAACACTTTTCTTCATTTTGCAATAGCTATTTGTGGTTTAGATTCCTTTCCATTTCCTGTTTGAGCACACAAGCATGTGTGTGTTTCTCTCAATATTTCTCCTGGTCCTGTGTTTGTTCTACTCCTTAGATATGGTAACTTTTTTTTTTTGAGAGTTTAGTATTTAATATGTTGGACACATGGCCAGTTACTATGTCAGTTAAAAATTGTTATTTTTTTAAGTTGAGAATTGAAGGAAGACCCTTCATAATTATTTATATTCTTAACTCTGTTAACAATTTCTACTGTGAAAGACTAGGTCTCATTTAAGTCACTAAGTTGCCCATGTTGCACTCAAATTTGCAGGCTTCTTAATACGTCCATGGTTTTTTTTTTTTTTTTTTTTTTTTTT